GCAATACTCAGTCAAAGAACAATGTGGAGGTATCACAATACCTGACTTCAACTATATTACAAAGCAATAACAATAAAAACAGCATGGTACTGCACAAAAACAGACATGAAGACCAGTGGAACAGAATAGAGGACCCAGATATGAAGCCACACAACTATAACCAACTTGTCTTTGACAAAGGCGCTAAAAATATACGATGGAGAAAAAACAGCCTCTTCAACAAAAACTGCTGGGAAAACTGGTTAGCAGTCTGCAAAAAACTGAAACTAGATCCATGTATATCACCCTATACCAAGATTAACTCAAAATGGATCAAGGATCTTAATATCAGACCCCAAACTCTAAAGTTGATACAGGAAAGAGTAGGAAATACTCTGGGTTTAGTAGGTATAGGTAAGAACTTTCTCAATGAAACCCCAGCAGCACAGCAACTAAGAGATAGCATAGATAAATGGGACCTCATAAAACTAAAAAGCTTCTGGTCATCAAAAGAAATGGTCTCTAAACTGAAGAGAACACCCACAGAGTGGAGAAAAATTTGCCAGCTACACATCAGACAAAGGACTGATAACCAGAATATATAGGGAACTTAAAAAACTAAATTCTCCCAAAACTAATGAACCAATAAAGAAATGGGCAAGTGAACTAAACAGAACTTTCTCAAAAGAAGAAATTCAAATGGCCAAAAAACACATGAAAAAATGCTCACCATCTCTAGCAATAAAGGAAATGCAAATTAAAACCACACTAAGATTCCACCTCACCCTGTTAGAATAGCCATCATTAGCAACACCACCAACAACAGGTGTTGGCGAGGATGTGGGAAAAAGGAACCCTCTTACACTGTTGGTGGGAATGTAGACTAGTACAACCACTCTGGAAAAAAATTTGGAGGCTACTTAAAAAGCTAGACATCGATCTACCATTTGACCCAGCAATACCACTCTTGGGGATATACCAAAAGACTGTGACACAGATTACTCCAGAGGCACCTGCACACCCATGTTTATTGTGGCACTATTCACAATAGCCAAGTTATGGAAACAGCCAAGATGCCCCACCACTGACGAATGGATTAAGAAAATGTGGTATCTATACACAATGGAATTTTATGCAGCCATGAAGAAGAACGAAATGTTATCATTCGCTGGTAAATGGATGGAATTGGAGAACATCATTCTGAGTGAGGTTAGCCTGGCCCAAAAGACCAAAAATCGTATGTTCTCCCTCATATGTGGACATTAGATCAAGGGCAAACACAACAAGGGGACTGGACTTTGAGCACAAGATAAAAGGGGGAGAGCACACAAGGGAGGGGTGAGGATAGGTAAAACACCTAAAAAACTAGCTAGCATTTGTTGCCCTCAACACAGAGAAACTAAAGCAGATACCTTAAAAGCAACTGAGGCCAATAGGAGAAGGGACCAGAAACCAGAGAAAAGGTGAGATCAAAAAGAATTAACCTAGAAGGTAACACACACGCACAGGAAAATAATGAGTCAACTCCCTGTATAGCTACCCTTATCTCAACCAGCAAAAACCCTTGTCCCTTCCTATTATTGCTTATACTCTCTCTACAACAAAATTAGAAATAAGGGCAAAATAGTTTCTACTGGGTATTGAGGGGGTAGAGGGGAGAGGGAGGAGGTGGAGTGGGTGGTAAGGGAGGGGGTGGGGGCAGAGGGGAGAAATGACCCAAGCCTTGTATGCACATATGAATAATAAAAGAAAATAAAAAAATTTTAATCTGAGGACAGACAGTTCACATCCCTGTACTGGTCTGACACTCCTCTGTGCGACGAGGCTGTGTGTGGCTCTGAGGGCTCTCACCTGCCACCTTGCTGGCTCAGGTGAAAGGAAGGCTGCCAATCGCCATGATCTTGGCTCTGAAGCGCAAGCTCAAAGAGTGATCCACGTTCACAGTGACTGCACGTACACCTGGGGGTGGGTAACCCAGGGGCCCGCGGCATCGTGAACTACAGGGTTGCTCTCCAGCCAGCAGCTAATCAGTGCTCACAGGTGCCTTCTGTTGCTAAGATGACAGGATGCCCAGATTTTTCCCATTGAGGTGGGGGTCTCACGAACTGTTTTTTTGCCTAGAACCTCAATCCTCCTGATCTTAGCCTCCCGTGTAGCTTGGGATGACAGGTGTGTCCCATGCATCCAGCTATTGGTTGAGATACGGCCTCCCTAACTTTTTGCCCAACTGGCCACAAACCACAATCCTCCTGCTCTCAGCCTCCCAAGTAGCTGGGATTACAGGCGTGGCCATCAGTGAGCACCCAGCTCAGGCTCTTTTCAAATTTTAGTAGTTTGGGATTTTAGGTACTGGCACTGCCGTCAGCAGTGAACAGAGGTGAGTTTCTTGTGAATGAGACCATAAATAGAAAACATGAGAGTACAGAAAAATGAAATCCACGTGGTCCAGAGCACACCACATTCAAAGTTAAAACACAAAACCTAAGTTGGAAAACGAGTTGCAAAGCATACAGCCCACCGGGGGTAAGTAACAAGTAAATAACATTGAGACCAATTAGAGAGAAGCAGTGCCCCCCCCCACCCAAGAAAGTGCTCAAAGCATAAAACACAAACAGCAAGCGGCCTGGAAAGGCAGCTCTGTTTCTGGAAAAATGAGCCACCAATAAAGATTGTGAAGAAGATAGCAGCCTACCAGACTGGATTAAAGCTAAACACAGACAACCTGCATGGGGGGTGGCCACCCCCATACCCCGTAGGTGGTCCAAGTGGATGTGGCCTTTATGGGACAACATGTGGACCCGGAGATGCCCCACTCTGGAAATGTCCAGGAGCTCTGCATGGAGGGTGGGGTGAGGGGGCCAAGCAGTGCAAGGTGCTTGTTGTCTTCAGGGTGACATGGACCAGCGTCTGGGTCACTCAAAGAATCAGAACTCCCCAGGAAGGAGCACTAGTCAGCAAGACAAATGGCTGGACCCTGGAGTGTGAGTGTACATGAATGTGGAGCACGCAGACCCACACTTGCACAGATGTGCAAGTGTTAGCCATTCAACAGCCACCTGAAGGCCTTCCTGGGCAGGGTGCCTCACCAGGGACACTGCAGTGAAGGCTGAGCTCCTGCCACCATGCTGTGGCAGAGACATCAGAGAGAGCCCAGAGCCCAACGCCTCCACCTAGACAGCTCTTCTCCCCAGGTCAGAAGCCCTCTGACCACTCACACTCCTAGCGCCTGTGTGAACTGACAGGCTCAGGAGCCTTGGAAGGGAGAGGGAAAATCAGTCAGAGGCTCTGCCGTGATCTCTGGTGATCACTGGATTAATTGTAACAGATCTGCCATCACCAAGGGCTCGACACCCTTGGCTAGAGAACTGGGGTCTTCCCTGGGACTCTCCCAGCCCTCATGGCACAGGCTGGGGTCTGCCGTTAGCATGCTCACTAGGTCAAGAGCACACTCTGAGCCCCACAAGTGATGGCACTCTCTGTGTATGCACCTATTCCATCAAGACTTTCCCCAGAGCTACAGGGCCAGGATCTTAGGCAGGTTACAACCTTCAACATATAGTTAAAGCCACGGTATTGTCCACTGTCTGCTGACAGTTATTACCCACTCGAAGCTATGACACTACCACAGACCTCTGTATCCAGTACTTGTCTGAGAACACCCTTAAGGCCACCATCCACAGGGACAGCTAACCGGCTGCCTCACTCACAAGATCTGTCACTAACCAGGTTCATGGAGTACGTTTAAAGGTGATGTCCCTGTCAGAATGTTTGGGATAAGAGCTAGTACTAACAGAGGCAGGACAGGAGAGCTCACTCTGGAGCACCGCCTGGCTGGGCACACAAGCATCTGAGCACAGGCGAGGAGGACGAGGAAGTGCTGCCTCCCCCTGCTGTTCCCAAAGCTAGAACCAGCACTTCACACTGCTGGTGTCAGTTTTTTGTCTCTGTGACAAAATACCTGAAGAGCAAGACAACTTAAGGGAAGAAGGATTTCCTCTGTCGCATGTTCAGAAGTTTCAGTCCCTCTGGGGAGGGTGTGGCAAAGTAGAGCAGCTCACAAAGCAGGCAGGAAGCAGGGACAGAGATTAGCCAGCTTCCTCCTCTTCCCCTTTCATTCATCCAGGCCACCAGCCTGTGGGATGGTGGCCTTACTCCAACTTCTCTGGAACCCTCACAGACACACAGGTAAGCTTCTCAATCTGATGGAGTTAGCAGTCAAGATTAGCCATTTCGCTGATTTCTGTAAGAACGAGGTGCTTCCTAGAAAGCATTAATAAATACACCAAGCCAGAAGACTCCTTCAGGACAAAGCCCAGCCCCCCTCTCCCCACTTCGGGGGAGAGGTTCTACCACTGCCTGTCCCTCTCCATCCCCTCTTAATGTCCCAGGATGTCTATGTGAGTTCCTTCTTCCCCTGCCTGCCCCAACTCCCAGCTCCCTCAGGTCAGCTAGAAATAACTTCTTCCTGACAAACACCCCAAGGAATGCAGCCACGCCCTATCCCCAAATGTCCACTGCAGGGTTCAGGGGAACGGGACTTCGTTCTTTTTTGTCTTCTTTTTTGGTGATACTAGGGTTTGGTGATACTAGGGTTTGAACTCAGGGCCTCACACTTTCTAGAGTCGCTCTACCACTTGAGCCACACCTCCAGACCTGGCACCTGGAGCTCCATAAACACGCATCATGGTTCATTCCACTGGTCATTTGCTCTCTCACAAAAGAATGCAATCGTACAGAGGAATAAAATCGTAACTTTTTTGTTCGGTTGTTCTTTTTTTTATTTCAATACCTAGCCCGGGCTAGCCTTGAACTCAGGACTCTCCTGCCTCAGCCGCCCCAGTGCTGGGATTTCAGGTGCCCTCACCAGCCCACCTGAAGGACAACCAGGAATGATAAGCCACCACCCCCTAGCCCTAATTCTGTGACTCAGCTGAGAGTAAAGCAATGGTTGAGCGTCCACAGTGGTTTGTGCACGCCACTCTTCCTAAGGAGGAGAACAGAGAGCCCAGCGGGCTCTGTACCTGCAGGGATGATGCCGATCCTGAGGGGGCTGGGGACCAGCACGGCTCTGGGATGGTTCTGGTCGATGCCCGCGCTCCTCTGCGTCTTCCCGATCAGCCCGTGCAGCACCTCGCTGAACATGCCATCGCCACCGACACAGACAATGCTGCGGGAAGATCAGAGACTCGTCAGGGTCCCCAAACGCAGTCCGCAGTCCTTCAGCTGGGGGCCTCGGGTGTTGGGCCCTGGCAGGTGTCTGGGAACTTAGCTCTTGAAACCTTCTCTAGATGCTGAGGTACCTCCCTGCAGCCCGCCCACCAAGACTGCTTATACAGACAAGAGACTCAGCACACACTGACTTTCCTGCTGGAATTGCAACGGCAGAGAACTCCTATGTGACCACCCCCTGGCTGGCCCCCACCAAAAACCCGTTATTTGAGCTGGAGGAGTAGCTCAGTGACAGAGCATGGTCTAGCATGCACAAGGCCCGGGACTCAGGCCCCAGCACTGCAAAATTTTTTTTAAAGTTAAAAAAGCAAAACAAAAAGCCAAACTCTAAACTTGGCAACACCAGACCTATGGGACTGCATTTCTGCTGCTGGAGGGAGTGAGTGCTAGGCGACTTACATGGGGTGGGGGCTGGGGGGACATGCACACGTAAGCGTGTTCTTTTCTGATCCAGCTGGGTGGCCTTGCTCATGTACAGACTCGCTAATCCTATGTGTGGTCCTGAGGACTCAGCAGACAGGAGCAGAGGGGACCAAATAAGTGCCAGGTTCAGAAGACAACACCAGGAAAAGAGGAAGAAGGGAGCCTGGGTTGTTGGGAGGCAGGGCAGGGCTGCCTAGTGCGGATGGCGAGAGGAAAGATGGAGAGGTGTGCATGCATGGGAGACTTGGGCACATTCCTGTGACATGGAGGGAAGGCAGAGGGCATGCTCACCTCCCAGGGCAACCTGACAGCAGGAGGCTCAGGCATAGCTGAAGGACTTGGGCAGGGAGGGTTGTGTGGAAGGGTTGCCCACAGAGTGGGGTGAGTTGACCTGGGTGCAACACGAGGGCCCCTTAGATCTGAAAGTGAGCAATCAGTGAGCCTCGCTGCTCTCCAGCATGTCTGGCTGCACAGGGGCAAGGACACTCTCCACGGCTGGGGTCTCTACCCAGCAGCCACCTTGAAAAGTTCAGGCTTTAAAGCACAGCTCCTGTGGGAAGGTCCTGGGACTACCTCCCCTCCACACTCTGCACACCAGAGTATGCAGAGTCCACCTGTCCCCAGCTAGGCTGTGGTTTCAAGGACAGGGTCACAGCTCAGGTTTTTAATGTGCACCGATATCTTGCTTGACTGCACTTGCTGCTCAGCAAATGTTCGGGGATTCCCCACTGGCCTGGCCACCTGGCCTCCTAGTGAGGAGCCACATGCCTGGGGAAAGGAGTGTGCCTTGAGGCACAGTTGGCTGCCATGTGGCTGTGTTGGGTAACACCCTAGCAAGCAGTGGAGATTACACCATCTTCCTAACACGGCTGAGGTCAGGGTGGCATCTGTGGGGAGAGGTGTGTGGAATGCTCTCTGCACTTTGGGGCCCACGTACTCCCCTGAGTGATGGGGACAGACAGGAGGGAAGACACCCTGCCAGCACTCTGAGGCAAGGGCTGTTTTATTTTCCTCTCTAACCTCAGCGCTCACACAGTGCTGGAGGCTGGCATATACTCAATAAGGAATGAATAAGGATTTTAAAAACTCATATTTCAACTTAAACAGCACATTCCTCACAAGACTCCAGGTGGAACAGAGAGATGAAACCCAAAAGTCAGCTGGTTACAAAGCAATCAACAAGAAGAGTGTCTACCCTCAAGCACTGGAGACCAAGAATGAGTCTCTAAGCTCAGAGAGTAGTTTAGAAAGAGGTAGACAGACTGAGTACATGAATTTGAAAAATATGGTAAAAAATGCCATATGCAAAATTAAAAGCCAGTTTAAGAACTAGGGAAACTATTTGTCAAAATATGACACTGGCTGTGGATTGCCTGTTACTTGTTACATAGAAGAACAAATAACTGAAACTACTTGAGCGACAGAAGAAAAGGGCCAAGGTTGTAGAAACTCGGATAAGCACATTTCTTCAGAGATTAAAGACTTTTGCACGTCAAACTGGCAGGTAGAAGCAACCATGCTGACAAGGACAGCAGGTGACACACTGTAAGAAGGTGTGGAAGTGACAGGGCTGGGGTATAACTCAGTGGTTGGAGTGTGTGCCCTGGGCTCAATCCCCAACACCAAGAAAAAAAACCTCATGTCTAAGGATTAACCCTGAAAAAATACACACAGAGATGTATATTCAAGAATGCTACTGGATTTTAAGAGCAAAGATTTGAAAGAGCTAATATGTAGGAGGAAGAGACTGGTTACAAAAATTATGGCGATCCATACAGCAGAATTTGGTATGAGCATTAAAAATAATATTCTGGGGAAATCTTTAATGACATGGGAAATTGCCTGCAATATAACAGAAAAGCAGGATCAAAGCGACCAAACGACTTCATGTCAACCTTATGTGATCATGTGCCTGTAGAGATGAATCAAAAAGTCTTGTGAAAGCCTGGACAGGAAGCCAGGCTGTCAAACAGTGGCTTTGCCCAGTAGGGGGCGGGTGTGTAGTTTTCCTGACTGTACAGGAAGCAAGCTTGCTTTTACAATTACGAAAAAACCTAAGGAAAGGGAGCGACTAAAGAACAAGAGCTATGAGCAGAACTTGACTGTTGTAGTCAAGAGGAAGCAAGCGTTTTACTCACCCGTCATAGCTGTCCATGTTAATCTCATATAAAGCCTCCTTGGCTTGATTAGCTTGTTCTGTAACTGGGGGAAAACATCACATCATGCACTTTATATTGACATCTGGGAATCCGTACAAGACAAAAGGGAAGTAAGCCACTCTTTACAGTGTGGTCCAGTAGGTTTTCAGGGGGACTTCTAGAGGAAACACCTCCTTACAGCTTTCTAATTCCCTCTCACTGAGGAAAAGGCAGCCACAGTAAGATCTGAGAGCCTTTTTTTAAAATTTTGGTGATACTGAAGTGTGTACTCATGGCCTCACGCTTGCCAGGCAGGTGCTCTACCTCTTGAGCTACTCGACCAGCCCTTTCTGCATTGCTTATTTTTGACATCGGGTCTTGCTTTACACCCCGCTGGCCTGGACTGTGATCTTCCTGTTTGAGCTCCTCTGCATAGCTGGGATGACAGGTGCCCACCCTGCACCCAGCCATTGGTTGAGATGAGGTCTTGCAAACTTTTTGCCTTTGGGCTGACGTCCAACCACGATCCTCCCCATTTTCACTTCCAAGTAGCTAAGATTACAGGCGTTAGCCACTGTGCCCAGTGAGATCTGACATTTTCAGCACTTAATTAGCAACAAGTAATCTCTTTAGGAGTGATTAAACATGGTTTCTGCGTTGTACTTTCTCCTTATTATACAGGTTACTTAAAAAAAATTAGAATGTGGCTCTGGCACCCAGCACTGCCCTGACAACGTGGTGCTGCAGATGTAGGAATGCATTTTTGTCTTAAAATGGCACTTGTGATGGAATCGCTTCTGAGACATTAAGCCTTTGTATCTTCTCTTGCCAGAATTTCCTGCCCATGATCTTTCTTCTTTTACCTTCTTGCTGTGTTCTTTGAGTACCTGGGACTGGGCTAAAGAAGGCGACACCTGTCATCTGCACTCTTCTCGTCCTACTATACAGGAATAACTGACTTTGTTTAAAACGGCCCCGGGACCGCTGGTACTTACTGACGATGTCCGTGGTGATGGAGGCCAGCGTGAACAAGGGCGCCACCTTGCGGTCGTAGACCCGCTTGCCCCGGCCCTTTCCTCCGAACGGGTTGATGAACACCAGCAAGTGCTTGGGCCTCGATGCTGCAGGACAACCGCGGGAAAACCGTGAGCGCAACCAACCCAGCTGGGGACGGAGTCCAGGGCGTCTACGGCGCGTGCGCGTGCGCCTGCCTTGGGGCTGGAACTCAGCGCCCTGCGCCTCCCAGGCAGGTGCTCCCACCGCTAGAGCCACACCCCCAGCCTTTTTTTTTTTTTAACTTTATTTTTATTTTTTTCAAATAGAGTCTTGCTTTTTGATCAGGCTGGTCTCATACCATGACCTTCCTACCTCTGCCTCACAAGTAACTGGGATTACAGACATGACCCACCATACCCAGCCTCTATGTATTTTTAAATCTTTTAATTTATTTTTATTTTATTGTTGTTGTACTTGGGGTACATTGTGACATTTACAAAAGTGCTTACGATATATCTTAGTTACTTCACCCCCTCCATCATTCTCCTTTACCCCCTCCCCTTAAATCTTAAGAACAGCAATAAAGACTTCCACTCGATGAAAAGAGAAAAACCACAGTCTATCAAAAGAGGAGGGCCTGTGCACATCCGCCGTGTACGAGGACGGTCCCAGGAACTCGGAACTCCAACCGAGAAAAGGACCCCTCTCTCCTACAATCCTGGGCAGTTACAGCATGGTTCTGCTCATGTAAAGAAAGCAGGTTTCTGAGAACAAGGAGAAGGAAACAGATGTACAAAGAAGCATGAGGAGAGAAAGACAGACACACAGACAGAAAGAAAAAGTTCAGACAGAGGCAGACAGAGAAGAGAAAGGGCAGAGACGCACTGGGCATCCAGGGCCTGTTTTCAGTGCCCCACCCAGCTAACCGCCCATGCATGGGTTGCCTGAGGCACCCCTACTTTCTCCTGACAACTTCCACACTTTTGTTTAGTCAATTCAAGAAGATTCTGCCAGGTAAACAAATAAATTTGGGCCAGGTGCCAGTGGTTCACACCTGTAATCCTAGCTACCCAGGAATCAGAGATCAGGAGGATCGCCATTAGAAGCTAGCCCGGGCAAATCTTGAAAAATACCAGCACTAAAAAGGATCGGCAGAGTGGTCAAGTGGTAGAGCACCTGCCTACCAAGCATAAAGCCCGGAGTTCAAACCCCAGTGCTGCCAAAATAAATAAATTTAACTAATGGATCAAAATAACAAGAAGGTACGTGCCCAAGAAAATTGGTAACTTACACAAAACCTGGACAGCAGTATCCATCACAGCCCTATTCACAATAGCCACAGAGAGGGACACCCTAGTGTCAATCAATGGGCAAAGGGATGAAAAAGACACCCACCCACACAAGGGAACATTCTTTAGTCATAAAAGATAACAATGACAGAACATTGCCAATGGGAACACGTGTTGAAATGTCACTCTACAGAGGAGGAGCACTTGTCTAGCAAGCGCAAGGTCCTGGGTTCAATCCCCAATACTGAAAAAAATCCATCTCATGGTATTTTATTGTTTTATGAAGTGACGTAAATTTAGTCTCAGAATTATGAACCGGTACTGCTCCCTAGTTAATGATATGCACATCGAGTGTCCAAGAGCGAAACCTGCTTGTGTATGTCACTTCGAAATGCAGCAAAAAATATAATGGATGGATGGATGGATGGACAGAGACTGACAAACCAAATCTAGCAGAATCAGGTGGTATGTAGGTGAATGTCCACTATGGTTCTTTAAGTGTCTCTGTGCACTTTAAATGTCAGGGGAAGCACCTCAATGGAATAAGCAGCAAAGCCAACAGTTTATTCTCTGAAAACATCCCAAGTTGACAAGTCTAATACAACTGATCAAAAAAATGGAAGAAAACACATGTCACAGAAATTGGGAAAGAGAAGGGAACACCACTCCAGAATCTACAAATACCACTAAGAAAATGAAAGGATTTATTAAAAGTTCATGCTGATAGGTTGGTTAATTTGCATGAAATGGCACGTTTCTCAAAAAATACAACTTACCAAAGATGTCAGAAGAAACAAAAAACTGAATGTTTGATATCTAGTAAAGAAACTGAAGTCATTAGCAACACCACCCCCACCAAGAAAACCCCAGGCCTGGATGGTTTCACCACTGAGTTCCTCCACATGGTTAAGGAAAAACAGTCTCTTCCAGAGAACAAGAAAAGAAGAAACATTCCTGAACACTTTGTGTGAAACCACTGCGACCCAGACAGCGAAACCAGACATGGTGTCAGCAGAGAAGACGTCACAGAGAGGAAGTGACAGATCTCTTTCTCCCTGAACCTACATACAGAACCCTTGTCAAAGTACCAGAAGTCAAATCCAGTGAAACAAAAAGTGGGCAAACGTCTCAGCCAGGAGGGGCTTATCCAGGAATGCAGAGGGCTAACAGGGGGAGTAGAGCCACTCAGAGAACTACTTGAAGTCACTCATGATTTTAAAACAATAAAACTCTCAGAAAACCAGGGATAGAAGAAAATTTCCTTATCTGATTTTTTAAAATTCTGTTAAAACTCAGGATTAAGACAAGCACACTGTTATCAGCCTGCACTGCTGTTCCAAACCTGGGCAAAAATGTAAGAAAAGGAGTCAGGCGCCAGTGGCTCAGAGATCAGGAGGATCAAGGTTCAAAACCAGCCCTGGGCAAATAGTTCTTTGAGACCCTATCTCGAAAGGTACTCAACACAAAAAACAAGGCTGGTGGAATGGCTCAAGTGGTAGAGCGCCTGCCTAGCAAGTGTGAAGCCTGAGCTCAAACCCCAGTGCTGCCAAAAAAAAAAAAAAAAAAGTAAGAAACAGAATCAAAGAGAGAAGAACTGAAGCAGAAGAAATAGAACAGTCACCACACAACTGACTCAATGGTTAACAAGAATCCAAAAGAATCATCTAACTATTGGAATTAGTAAGTAGATTTAGCAAGGTGAAATACAGAATCCTACAAAATCTCCATATGCCGGCAATAAAAAAATTAAAACCAAAATAGGCCAGGAGTGGCAGTACAGGCCCTATAATCCTAGCACCTGGGAGGTTGAGGCAGGAGGACAAAGAGTTCAAGTCCAGCCTGGGCTACACAGCAAAAACACTGTCTCTGGGAGAAAGACAAAAACAAAAACAAAATAATAGCACCACAGTACAGAGGAGGAAAGACAGTATTTCCCATAAATGGCACAGATCCTGCAGATTTCTCTGTTTAAAAAATATGAACCCTAATCTCTTTCTTCACACCATTCACAAAGGTCAGTTCCAAAAGGATTGTGGATCTGAGTGTGAAAGGTAAACAATAAAGCTTTCAGAAGAAACATCTTCCTGACCTGAGGCCTGCACACTCTGCAGGCATTCAGGCCTAGGTAGACACCCAAGAGAAATGCAAGGGTGTACAAAATGACCTGCCACAACACTGCTGTTCATGGGAGCCCACAGGAGGTCAACAGCAAAAGAGATGAATAAACCATCATACACTCACATCACAGCACATCACGCAGCCATAAGAGTGAACCATGGGTGATCACGCAACACAGGTAGACTTCACACACAGGGCCAAGGACCAGGGCGCCTGTGCCGGCTGTATCAGTGGACTTCTGTGGTCCAGAAGTCAGGGAAGTGGTGACCCCTGGGGAGTAATGACCACAGGGCCCAGGGTCCAGGGTTCTGCTTCCAGGTCAGACGCTGCTGGGTGTGAACCCCACCTGGCTGCACACTCAGCGTGTAAAGGCTTCTCTGTGCCTGTGTGTTACTTAAAGGAACATTAAAACAGACACAGAGTTAGAAGCTAGAGCTAGAGTAGTTGAAATAATAGAATCATATGCTGTTTTCAGACTACACCAACGTGCAGCCCGAGGGATTATCTATGAACCAAGTAGAAATGCTAAATCCACACTACTTGAGCGGAGTCTTTCAGTCCCCAGTACCGCCGAAACATATTATGGGGTGGAGGCATGGCTCAAGCAGTAGGGCACCTGCCTAGCAAGGGTGAAGCTCTGAGTTCAAACCCCAGTACCTACAGACTCAAGCCTGGACTCTAACAACTCAGTTTTGGGAAAGCAACAGATTTGGCATACAGGGAAGAAAGGGGAGAACAGGTGTGGGCAGGAAGAAGAGCCTAGAGACAAATGGAGAGGAAGGCAGGAGAAACTGAGCCTGTTGCAGAGAGCATGTGGAAGAGCCGGGCTTCCAGCAGGAATCTCAAGTGGTGAACCGGGGTCTGCACAGATAAAACCGAGGTGCAGAAATGCAAGGCCTCCCACCCCTAGGGATAATCAGAAAATGCACTTTCCAGCCCAGGAGCGCCTCTGATGCCAAGGCATGGAATTCATTATAATCCACTTTTTAACACAGATGCCAAATCAACTCAAAAGGCAAAAAGTGAGCCCAAACACACTGCTTCTGTTCTACAGCTGAAGTCTGTACTGTGTTGTCAGAACAGACATCAAGGTTATGACCAAACAACAGGAGCCAGTGTTCAGGTGTAAAGTAAATGACAGAGAAGCCATCACTTATCACAGAATAACCACCGTCAGGCTTCTGCTCCATTTCAGGTGCACACACCATTCCAAGTCCTGGCTGATCCCCGCTCACCTTCAGTGGGGATTACAGGTGTCACAGCAGGTGTCACAGCCCCTTGCAGAGAAAGAAACTGCAGTTTCTTTCAAGAGTTCTTTCAAGAGGCTAAAAGACCTGCCTGCCTCACTGCTAGGAGGGGACAGGGCGGGGGACAAGAGCTCGATGCCAGTGCCCGACTGTGGAGCCCACACACTGTCCACTATTCTATGCTGGCCCTCTGTTTAGTAAGTTTAGAAACAAAATGGATCCAACACATCCACCTGGTAGTGCAGTGAGCCCAGGAGCCTCAGGGATTGTTGGGGTGGCAGGGGGGAGGTGGGCAGACAAAGAAGCAGGTGGAGATGGCACTTCCCCTGGCCGGATGGCCACCATGGCTCTGGGATCACTGGTCCCGAGCCAGCACCACTGTGCTGCCTTCCTGCAAATCTAAGAGCCCCACACATACTCAGCTTCTCCAGCAGCTCTCGGAGGGTCTGCAGCCACAGGTGACACAGCTGCTCGTCAGCGCTCCAGAAGGTCACCTGTGCCCACTTCCAGCGGTGATGTCGAGCTCGTTTCACACAGTGGACTGCAAGGAGACCAACACTTGTTAGGTAGGGCCCTGGCCATGGTGACAAAACCGATTCACATTCACATTACATATAGCTTCCCCACTACACACTTCCCAGGGGTTCCCGTGCAGCTTGTTAATGACTTTCAACGTACATTAGACGAACATCTCAGCTCCTTTAAGCCATTCCATAAAATAAAGAGGGGCTGGGTGTGGTGACACAAGAATGTAATCCCAGCTACTCAGGAGGCTGAGGCAGGAGCATCACGGGTCCCAGGCCAGTAAGACCCAAGTCTTATAAAAAAAAAACCCCAAAATTTGTTAATTAATAATAATAATTTTAAAATCATAAAATAAAGATTAACACCCAAACATTCACTAAAAGTAGATCCTAGAAAACAAATAATACAGGAAGATTCCATAAAGATAAACAAGTGATAGGAAATGTCCTGCCCTGTCACTTTCAGGGAGCTAAAGGGAAGCATGGGTGAGGACGCCCAGGCTCTGTCACCTGTGAATGCGTAGGGATTTTCCATTTTCTGCCATCGGCCACTGGCATGGTGTTTCCCGTGAGTGTCCGTCTCCTCCACGGTGATGATCTCTGACACGGGCACCGAGCGGGCATCTGCAAAGACCACAGCTTAAGTCCAAGCTCTGCAGACTCACGGACGGAGAGGCCAACTCTGAAAAGCTGAACACTGCTTCAGTGCGGTCATCAGAAACCCAAAACCAGACAGGAGGGTCGGCCACCACGCTTTCACCCGGAGCTAAGTCAGCAGGCGGCTCAGTGTTAACTGGAGATGGGGTGTTTCATCCAGCAGTAGCCAATGCAGGCCGAATGGTCACAAAGTCTACTGAGCCACAACAACAAATGCTAACCCTTCCAGGCCAGCCACTGTGCTGAGTTACAGGACATGGACTCTGCCCAAAGGCAGAGTCTAGGCTCAGAGATCCAGATGGGAAGGGGACATTTAACAGGACACAAGATGCCAGGGCCACCAAGTGTGCAAGTGACAGTCAGGGTCCAATGGGGGGGGGCTGGGGTTTGTAAACGCCAGAGGTCTGATCAGATGCAGGATGATAGCCTGACATTGTTTGTTTCTTGGGAAGGAGCTCATTATGTACAGGATGGCTTTGAACTTGCCATACCCCGGCCTCAGCCTCTCCAGTGCTGGGATTATAGACATGCACCACTAAGCCCAGCACCAGACATTCTGTAACACAACAGGCCAGGAAGGAGGCAGACTGACCAGAGCTCACCAGGGTATGCTGTAATTAGGAGACTGCAGATCAAAAGAAAGTTGTGGGCAGGGCACAGCCCCGGGAAACGGCAGATTGTGACGAAGCCATCCTGAAGGAACACGCACCAGCCATTGCACACAGCCATTGCACAGCCATTTGAACAGGCTGGATTGCACAAGCCTTTTCATGAATTGCACTTGGGGATTTACAGTGTATTCTGTACACAGAACATTATAATAACCTACTTTCCTGGGTTGGCTACAAACCCAGCAGGAATCCAGCTAAACCCCACTGTAACATCTAGTCATCTTGCATCAGTTTTAAGGCTGTTGCCTGTGGAAATCAAGTCACCAGAACCTGGGGAGGTGGTGTCTGAGCAGGGCTTCTGAATACTACTGCCCTGAGGCAGATGTGCTGGGGACAGTGGAAATGGGGCATCAGGCAGAAGGACAGTCTTCTCACAAGGGTCTGTGTCTCCAAAACCAGTGAGACCCCCACAGTTCCTCTCTTCCCTTCTGCAGGTGTGGGCGAGCACTGCACAGGACAGGGCGTCCTGACCCCCATGCACCCAGCAGGCTTCCCAGCCCCAAAGCTCCCAGCAGGGCTCCTCTGCCTTTCTCAGCTCACCTTGTCAACCTCCCCCATTTCTGGAGGTGCCGACCTCACCTCTGAGGGGCCCCTCCCAATCCTGCCTGGACCAGTGACACTGCACTCAGACACCCTGCCCACCTTGCCAAGTCCATTTCCCAGAGGAGCAGGGGAGGGCAGAAGCCATCTGTGTGTAGGTGCCAACCACAGAGCCAGGCTCGTGGCAGACGTTCAGTAACAGGGACAAAATGAGTCACGAGACTTACAGGTAAAAGAATCTATGCTGTGACCTCTAGGACCTCTGAAACCAGCCATCGGTGTGTCGCCTTATCATCAGCACAACTACGATTGTTGGTAAGATACGGGTGACAGAAGTTACAAACACCTCAGCACAATAGCTGGAGAAACGTAAGCTTCTCAGTAGCAAACACGTGACTGAGTTGAGGGAGGTGCAGGAGATGAAGACAGGCGTCAGGCATTATGCCAGTATATATCTGAAACTTCTGAATGACCTGGCAACCCTTCTAAAAAAGTCTACAGGAAGAACCAAGGGAGGAGGCGAGAAATGTCAAAGTGAGCCACACGTTACGCCGCCAACCCCAGGAGCCACCCTGCAACCAGGGCCGGGCAGCCTGAAACCGTGCAGTCCCCACGGGTCCCCCAGCTGCCACAGCTGCCTCAGCACATGAGCCATCCTCCGTACCACACCTGCCTGGCACAGCTGCTGAGAAGGATCAAAGCTCTGGAAACAGCATTTCTCAGACACCCACGGGCACGGGGACAGCTGGGGGTGGGGGAGGAAGTAAAGAATCGAAGTAAGTCACGTGTCAGAAGGAGGGACCCAGGGCTGGGGGCGTCCTGGGGTCAGGCAGGCGGTTCAGGAGGCTCTGCGAACCCAGCAGGTGGAAGAGAGCAGGTTGGAGAAGCAGGAGTCGGGGAGGGCCTGTGAGGCTGAGGAGCAGGTAGTAGTTGCCCCTGGAGTGAGATGGGTGCCCAGGAGGGTTCTGAGCAGAGATGTGACCTGACCTAGGTCTGACACCAAATAACTAAACATGGGGGCCTGGGGGGTATTGCTCAGTGGTAGAACATGTGCTTATTGCACAAGGCCCTGGGTTTGAGCCCCAAAACTAAAAATTAAAATGTGCAGGATAGGGCACAGGATACAACTCAGAAAAAGAATTCCAGGTAAAGCTGTGCACCTTCTGCTACCCTGGCCAGCAGAAAGCCTTGTGTGTCCCTCGGTGCAAAAGGAAACAAAAGCACCCAGCAGGTCATATGTGCTCACACACGCATCACTCTGCAGGTAGCACACGTGCTCCCGACAGGAATTGTCCCTTAAAAAGTGACAGGAAACAGTGGGGGAGTGAAAGTCAATTTCCCCGGCCACACTTCACTGAGGAGTGGCCAGAGTAAGAATGCCAGGGCAGTGCAGGACAGGGGCTGTCCTCATCTACCCGGAGGTGAGGGGGGTTGCTATGGACAAGGAGCTGAGCCTGCATTTGGTGACAGGATCAACCCGCTGGGGTTCTCCATAGCTTGAGTCAGGTAAGACATGAGTGAGCTCCGAGCACAAAAAGAAACTTAAGAAGCAGCAGATTTCTCCTCTGTGAAAAAGCTGCAGAGACGGGAGCTCTGCCTCCAGCAGGCCCAAATCCCTGTGTCAAATGAAGGCCACCTCTGCACCAGGTACCGGGTGCCCTTCAGTGCAGGTCTCATTCATTCTTCAGTTCACACCATGCACACTGTGGCACGACAGTCCTCTAATTATGAGGCCAAGACCAGACCAAGAAGCTAAGAAACTGGAGGAATGCAGCAAACGACCTGCACCTGTCAACCGAAGGGCACATCCCCTGAGGTCAGGCACAGGGACCACCAGGTGGAGGAGGGCACAGAGGGGTTGGGTCAGGAAAGAGTGGCTGGGCCTCTGCGGCAAAACGATCTGCCACTGGTGATTCTGATGTGGACTCGTGGAGAGGCGTCCATGTACCTACGCCCATGGAGCAGACACGCATGTGTGTCACGGCAGCAGCAGTGACAGCGAGCATGGGAACAAGTCCACACATGGATCCCACATGTTGGAGGAGTTTGCAGAGTTGAAGGTGGGAATTGGGGCACCTTCACTTCCCACAGAAGTCTTTGTATTCTCTGTGTTCAGAGGGTGTATGGACATCCAGAGATCCCAGAGGAAGGGCGACCTGGATGGAGGACATTCGACCTGGAGTAGGCACAGTTCCCAGATCAGCCCGAACTGGCGCACAGAACTCTGTAGCAGCAGCTGCAGAGAGGTGGGGAGGGCAAGCCAGGGAAGGCGGGTGGTGGGAGGGAGGGAAGCCAGGGCCAGAAGCACAGCTCATCTGGTCCAAGGCCATGGCACTGCCCTGCACTGTCTGCAGCGGCCTTCCTACGGGAGCAGCACCCCACAATGCATGTCTGCAGCACACATTCGCCTCCCTGGCCCTAACTCAGACCTCGCCAGGCACTTCTGCGATGAGTGACATGGCAGCCAGAATCCAAGAAGTGAAGACTATTTAAAATATGGCTTTTGTAAAATAATGTGTTAGCTTTAAGAACACTTATAAATGAAAGCCCAAGTCCTTCGAGGTCTTCAAACACAGTCTGCAGTCCCTGCAGTCTTGCTTATTGTTTTTGGAAAAAGAAGTCTTTTCCTCTGCCAACTTCTGAAATGTTTTGTGGCTGTTAATGTGAGAACCATGTGACACATGTTTCGCTGCCGTCCTGGGTCAGTGAGAAATCCTGGAGCAGGGTGGGGGCTGTGGGAGATGGGGCCAAGCCATTGTGGCCAGGTGCCATGGGGCAGGATGCAGGGGCGGTGCTGGGAACTGGGCGGCTCTAACCTGGATGCTAAGGACAAGGGTTTGGTGTATTTACCAGAGTGCTTCTGCCCCCCTGGCTGTGATGTGGACAAATTGACCTCTGAGCATCAGTTTTCTTGCCTGCAAGGTGAGGATTATGGCAATTATCTTTGAGTTCTGTGAGGATTCTAGAATCCATGCACCCAGCACAGAGGTGGCACTCACAGGTGACCCTCAGCATCATCACCACGTCCTCTACAAAGCCAGCAGAGTGATGGGAAAACTGCTGCAGGTAGGGAGGAGGCCAGGGCTGGACTCAAGGTTGGCCAGGCCCCAGTGCCAGGGGACTGCTCGGGACACACAGCTTTGAACGGAGCAGGCAAGGCTGCCTCTGAGTGTTTGCCTTACGAGGTAGTATGTGGGCGCTGGGGTCATAAAGAAATGATCCTGCAGCTGTGTGGGGTTGTGGACCAGCCCCATGTTCTCAGGGCTGCAACCGTGTGTGCTGGCTACTTCCCAGGATGGCCGGGCTTAGGGCCACCTGGAGCAGTGTTCTGTGTCCCTAGGTCAGGGTGTGTGACCTTCACAGTGAGCCACAGGCTAGGCACCATGGTGCCTGGGAGGGGACAGGCAGGGGCCATGGTGAAGGATCTGAGCTCAGTTCTGAGGCTGTGGAGAAGCTGTCAACAGACTGAGGCAGAGCAGTGATGTTTCTCATCCACACCTGTGTCGTGAGTACTCACTGGGCCACACATAGGAGCTGCCCTAGAGCAACTATGACCTTATTTTCACCTCCAGACGGCAAAGTTAAACTTGAACCTGCCTCTGTATATTTTAGTTTGTCATTTGTTTTCTTCTAACAATGAAGCAATCTGGCAGGGCATGGTGCACACCTGTAAATCCCAGCACTCGGGAGGTTGAGGTAGGAGGATTAAAAGTTAGTGTTAGTACTGGTTCAAATACTACAATTGCTACAAATTTT